TGTGGGGGGTGGATGGGTGTGGGGGTGTGGGTGTGGGATGAAGAAGCATGTCGGTGTGTCTGTGGATATGTGGGATCTGGGTGGGTATGGGGTTTGTGGGGGTTTGTGGGGGGCAGGGGTGTGGGTCTGGGGGTCTGTGTGTATGGCAGTGTGAGGGGGTGTAGGTGCATGTGTTTGGTGGGGTATGGGACTCACCCTACAAGCACACTCTGCCCCTGCCTACACACACACACGTACATACTCTGCCCCTCCCTACACACACACACACACACGTTGCCCCTCCCTACACACACATCTGTACTGGTACAGGCCCCATGCTCCCCAGTCCAGTGATGTAGCCAGGAACCACATGATGCCAGAGCAGTGTCGGGGAGGAAGGCAGGGAAATGGCTCAGAGTGGGATAGGAATGAGATGCTCAGTCCTGCTGGCTCCTCCTGGGTCCTACTGCCCCTGGCTTCTATCATCTTTGACTGGCAGCCAGGAGCAAATAAATATTAATTTACTAAATGTTTTAAGGGCCCCACTGGCCAGACAGAATGAGCTGGTGGGCCAGATCCAGCCTGCAGGCAATATTTTGCTTGCCCCTGAAGTAGACAGTTCCCCTTAAAAAATGTGACGGTGGTGGTGGTAGTGGTGATGTTCTCACAGTGAAACAGAATTAGACTTAGAATTTTATACAGCTTACACTTTTAGGTTAATTAACCCAAACTGTCTTCTCTGCTAATGTCTTCTCTGCTACTGTACCTGTGACCTGAGGCTGTCATATTATGCTGTGATCTTTATGATATCATGTCTGAAGGAAAAAATAAGTTTTTCTTATTTTATTTTTTTAATATTGGAGCCTTCATCTTTCTTACAACCCACATCCTCTTTTTATTTGTCATTGCTCACGGTACCTTATGTATCTCGGACTCCAACCTTGCAAGCTGCTCCACCCAAGCATAAGATTAGGGCCTAAAATAAGTTCCTTGGGAGGCTGACTTGTTTTTTTTTGTAGCACCGTAGATACAATATATAGCAAAGAAGTGCCCTGTATAACCCAAATGAACTTGAAACACTCTGCAAAGTAAAGAGTAAAGTACTGATAGTGAAAGGAAACATGTAAATTAAGAAGAGTAAATTTTGATCTGTCTGACAGTAATTCACATACAACTTTAGACAGTGCAGCCTTTATTCAGAGAGCAAATGTTAAGTAAGGCTTATCTTCTTCTGCTCTTGGCTCTTTAATTTCCAGAGGCTGATGCAGTAAATAAAACATTTAGGGTAATATTGATTTTGGTGGTGTGGATTTAATCTGGCAACAGCAAGGAGAATAAATGGGTACATTTTTCCAAAAGCTACCTCTGTATCCAACTGGTCTTAGGACGTTTCTCTTTTTAGAGTTGTATCAGCAGGATTTCATTCATGAGCTGACAATTCCACATCTAGCTCTTAATTTCCACAAATGAGAGACATTTTTTCTAATATATCTTAAGATATTTCATGATTTTTATTTTAAATGACTCAACATCCTATTTGATTCTAACAATTAAAAGTTAAAAATTTAAAAATGCTTCCCCTTTTTATTGTTGGATGACAGGAATCCAGCACAACCTCAGTTGGGGACACTGGGTGGGGTGGTTGCACCTGTCGCACTGCATACTATATCTATCTACATTGTTTTACAGACAAGATTCTTGGGGTTAACGTGATATCTTTTATTAGACCAACTAAATAGTTGGAAAATTGTTCTTGGCAAGCTTTCACGCACAAACACCCGTCATCAGACATAGGGAGAGTCTGCTTGTGTTTTGTGTTCTCCTGGATGAAATAAAAGCCAATATGCAAAATGCAGGTCTGTGAAAATACAAATGTGTGGCAGTGAGGACCAGAAGCAATGGGAGACAATAGGTGCAAGACAGATAGTTGGGGGGGAAACGGGGGAATGTTGACCTGGTGATAGGATGTAGCTGGTAAAATTTAGAGGTTACCTGGGGTTATTGCATGGCAGGCAGGTTATAAAGTGCCATAAATCCAATATCCATATTTAGTCCATGATTGTTTGTGTCCAGTGGATTTATGAAGTGTATAGGCTTATCTGTGAAAGGTGTTTTGTACATTCCCTTTGAGGATTAGAACTGAGAGACTGGAGAGAGAGTAGTTGTCTTGTGGGAAGTGTGCACTCACAGGTAATTGGGTATTTTTGTCTTTCATAGATTTTCAATGTGGGTTCATTCTGGTGCGCAGTTGTTGTTTGGTTTCTCCTACATATTTTTTATCATGGCATGTAGTGTATGTAGAAGGTTATTCTACTGCACTCATCACTAAGGGAATAAAGTGTGTCTGAGCCATCAGACAAGGCATAATGGAAGCCCGCAGAGCCATTTTGCATTGATTCCACATCTTCCAGACAGTGGATTAGGACAGGACATTCCAAGAACAGGGAAAGACAAAACTGTGAAAAGCCAGTCTCTGGGCACATTGTCTCAGAGTTAAAGGAGGCTGCTCTTCTGAAGTCTTCTCTAAATTACCCTGTGGAGCATGTGATATTTGTTGCAGCCATGTTGATCTAGAGACATAGGCATACAAAACTCTAGGAGTAGAAATGATATCTTTAGCCTAATAAAAGATATCGCCTCTACCCAAAAGTTTGTCTGCCTGTGAAGCATAGGTCTCCACTAGAATTAATCATGAAATACACTGAATAGTATTGCCCCTCAAGTCTATCCTTTAAAATATATTTTTTTCTAAATAAAATGACCTTGCTGTACATCTGGACCTATCGGGAGCCTCATAGGCTGAATGACATGGCTCTGTGGGTCAGATCTACCCCACAAGCTGAGGGTTGAGCCTCCCTAATTTACTCAGTTCAAGAAAAATAGTAATTTTCAATCATGTTCATGTTACCCCTTAATAGCACTATGGACATGTATCTATTATCTGTCACTGCTCACAAGAGCCAAGTATTGCCTCAAAACTCTAGGGTGCTTGGCCTGTACTTTTCCTGGCAAGGTACTGATGAATAGTTTAATAAAAACAGCAATATTACATAAAAAGTAGACGATGTCCTATTCTCAGCACCCAGATACCATAGTGATACATGCACGGAAAATCCCATAGATTAGGTAAGCTGTAGTAAGCAGTGTTTCCTTTGGACAAAGTTACACTTATGGAAGCTGTGCCGACAGCTGCTGAACTTTTTATAATGGTCTGTAGTACGGTTGAGGGGATGGTCACACAAACAACTTACCATGATGTAAACAAGGTTGATAATTTTACTGCACAGCAGCTCTGCTATACCTATAAATGTTCAGGCTCTGCTTCGCAGTGAATGAAAACTAAGTCCTAGGACCTCACCTCCTCAGTGAAGGGAGGTGGTAGCATGCACACACTGCAAGTACCTTGAATTAACTGCACTTGAAAATCTGGCTTTAGTCAATGTAACATAAGAAATAAACACAATATAACAAATGGGCCTAATCTAAAGCCTACTGAAAAAAAATATAAAGACTCCTATTGTGTCCAGTGAGCTTTGGATCAAATCTTTCTCCTAGAGGTTTTAGAGAGTTATCAAGGCCTGTTTCAAGAGAACTGTAAGATTTTTCTTGACAATGAAAATGTACTCAGGTCTTCATGTTAGGAGACTTACTTTTACCATTCACTATGAAAATAAGAGTGAGCTGGCTTCACGACATTGGTATTTTCCACCTTAGCAAGTGATAGACACAGAGTCAGATGTTGTGTGTAATAAAATCAGAGGGTGACTCCTCTCTGAATAAATTTAATAAACAAAAGGAAAATCAGGGACATTACCAATAGCAGTAACAGATGAACAGAAAGAAATGGTGCATAGGTAGGATTATATAGGTAGGATTACATATTTAGCAATAAATCCAGTCTCTACCCAATGAGCTCTCCCAAGAACGAGAAGGGACAATCATATCAACAGATAGTACCACTTTGAAATGATGCATTTGTGTCATTGGTTACTGACCTGTCTCTAACTATCAGCAAGAGCAATGTATTAGCAAACTGTGCAGTTCACCAACAGGAAGTGGGCATTGCAGACAGGAACCACCTCCACCTATTTCTCTTTCCTCTAACTTGCAGTAACTATTGGTACAACAGATAGCTACTATCTTCACTGGGTGGCTACCACTATTTTGGGGCATCTGTTAGGCACACTCATCCACTCAATACAATTTGACTTCTGCTGTAGGTGAGTTTTTTCTTAACTACAGTATAGATAAATAAATTAATAAATGAATGTAATGAGGCCTCAGCTACCTGGAAACAGCAGCAGGATAAGTGCTCCTAATACGGAAAGAGTGTACCAGTGAAAACTGGACTGGCTACAGCCCAGCAATAGAAACATTTTCAATGTATTCCTCACAGAGTAAGTTGCAATAGATTACAGCTCCTTAAGTACAGAAGCAAAGACCTAAATGTATTCAGGATGCCAAAAGGTATTTACAGACCATGAACTACCAGCCTGGCTTGCCAGACATTGCACATGCAAAAGGGGACATGGAGTGAACAGAGGGGAATGGACAAGTTTAAGACATAAAAATAAATTGTCTTCAATCATCTTCCTACCCACTTCATTCTAGTGAGTTACGTGAGCATGAGGTGATTCTAAGTAGTCCTAAGTGGAAGTCTGATCCCAAACTGAAAAAACAGGTCTAAGAGTGATCTTGGACTCAGAGAATTACACTAGAGAGGCAGCTTTGCTAAAGTTAAAGTTGACAACCTCTTTCTGCTTAAACTGCTCTAAAATCCAGATGCTTACTCTGATTTTCCTGGAATGCGGTGTGCCTCATGGGGGTGCTTGGTTTCTTCATAAAGGCAGGTGCTTAAATGGATTTCACTGCATGTGTATAGACTGAGTAGCCAAAGGCCTTCCAACCTTTCATTTGAGCTGGGTAGCCCAAGGGGATGTGTAGCAGTCATCAAACCTTCCATACACGTAGCCAGTGTCAATTCAAATCTGACCCTTGGTTGAAATCTGTTGAGGGGGAAAGTAAAAGAAGTATATTGCTGCAATCTGTCAGGGATCTGGGGGGAAATGTAATTCTAGAAGAGAGAGAATTCAGCAAAAGTTCAAACTATTTCAGCAAATACTATAAATTCCATGAGAGGATGCTTGCTGGGAGGGGCAAGCAACTCACGAGGATGAAAAAATGGGGAAAAGGATTTGGGGCAGTGTCAAGATGATGGAAAAAATGGACATGAGTGGGAGGGAAAGATAGAGGGGCTTAAACCATGGGGAAGGGTGAGGATCATGGTGAACAGGGTAGACCAGAAATGGTAGGGCACTAGAAGGGTGACAGGGCAATTAGGCAGTATCTGTGCCAACCCTATGCACTCTCCTAGGTGTACCAGGATCTGGAAGTGGGGCTGTATCTGAGAAGCTGTGATCCCCTTTCCTTGGTCTCCCATGTGTGCCAGGATCTCAAGGGTTCTCTCCCCTTCTGGGAGTGTCTGAGGCTCTCTACCTGTTTCACTGTAAGAGCTGAGATCTGAAGATTGCTGTCCATTTTAGCAGGAATCTCAGCTTGTGCTAGGATCTGGGTGGATCCATGAATGTTTAAACCTCCCTCCTTATTTTCTTCCAGTTGTAAGTCAACACCTGCAGAAGCCCAGTACCACTTTAGGGTGAGATGAGAATACCGAGAGCATAGTAATGAACCTGGCATGAGGAGTTGAATACAAGTATGCCTGATGCATCTCTCCAGCTTCCTTATTCAGATACAGTCTATTACATTTTCAGATATTAAAAACACATCCAAGCATATAGATCTTATCTGACTCATCTATTTGTTCCCATGTCCATGGAGATTCGAACTGGAACCCTAAATCCCAATAGTTCTCAACTCAGAAAATATTGAGAACCTAAGTGGATCTGAGCCCACTTTTTGAAATCTACATCCTTGGTCATTTCTGCTGATTGCTGTAATATGGACAGAGCAGACTGATGGTAGATTCCTTTGCTAGTTGAATGCAGTCAGCATTTTTTTTTTAAATTTCAGAAGCCAGGTTCTTTTAAGGAATCATTAGCAAATTGTTTCCCTTCTTGCTCTCTCTGGCACTCATTGCCTCAGGCCTTGTCAGAAACAAATGTCAATATAATGCTGAAATCCAGGACACAGTCTTCTATCCCAGGAAAATAGCACCAAAACTTGCATTGAATTCTACAGGGGCACAGAGGGCTTAACAGACTAAAAGATTAGTTTATTGATCAGTCCTGGTGCCCAGAAGAAAAATTGATTTTGTTTTTTGGCCATCTAGTGCTCATGAAACATATTTTCAAGTTCACCCCCTCCAATCCCTGGGCCGGAAGTGAGAGGTAATTTACTTGGAGCACATACTGCATGCACTTAATATATTCAGTCTAACAATAAATTAGATCCAAGTGACTTAAGATATCTGTTTGCCTCTTACATTTGATGCACTGCAATGAAGAAACTCCTGTTCAGGAATTGCAGGCAGTATCTTTGTTGCTTGTGCATTAGCTGAGGGTCTTCGTTGGTGGGTCTCCTCTGTTAAAAGTTAAAATAATTTTAAAAAACAGCAAAGAGATCTGCAATGCGTTAAACATTAAGGGTGCATCCAGATGAGTCCACACATGCAGTATGCAACACCTGTGGCAACACAAATTGCACATGCCACACATGCAGTTGTTTGCTGAACTGCTAGTTTGCAGCACAGCAGGTTATTTTTAACCTGGGTGTCAAAAATACCCACACCCAAAAAAAACAGGGTGGCGCACGTGGCAGCAGCGTGCGCTGCCCAAAACCAGAGTCTGCCTGACCAGAGCCACACTCCAGCTGCCAGCCAGGCTTCATGTGCCAGATTGCCACTGCAGCAGTCCTGGGAAGGCCCCAGGAGCCCAGGTAAGGCTGCTGGAGCCAGCCCAGGTGCTGGCTCCAACCTCCCCTACCCACCGGGGGTGACTTGCCACATGCCAGAATGCACATGCGTGGGTATTCCCCTGAGACAAGTAACAGTGGCACAACTATGTGCCACTGCTGTTTATTCCTGGGGAAATGCATGTGAGTGCTTATCTGGATTGTGCTCCAAAATAGAATTTTCCAAACTGGTTCTGTGACTTAAGTGGTAAAGAGAGCTAGTTAGTTGTGTTAGTCTGAAGTCAGGCAGAAGACAGGGTAGATTTGCACCTTATAGACTGACAAAATAAGAGATGTATAGCATAAGCTTTCATAAGCAGCGGGCCTACTTCATCAGGTGCTGTGAAGTGACGGCCATAAGACCAAATTTTCTAAGTTATTTTATGTGCTTAACAACGTAGATAAATGCTTCTAGGAATTTTGAAAAGCACCTAACCTAGGAACCTAATTTCCATTTGAAAATCCCGGTATTAGGAGCCAAAGTCTCATTGAAAGGTCAATTGGGTTAAGGTACATAAATTGCTTTGACACTTTTGAAAATTTTATCCATAGAAAAAACACAGCTCCATGTTTATTAAGAGTATGCAAACTCAGAGTCACATATTAATTAGGGTGAGCATAGAGTTTATGGACTTTCCAGTGTATCATGCCTTATGAGTGGGCTCAGTTACCATCACGCAGGGACATGCAACAAGGTATCCAAAGGCCACTGTAGATATAAGAGTAAGGTGAAGTGTTATGAGAGATCGTACAAGTACTGAAAGCAGGCAGTTTGTACTTCTGAAAGAAGACACCCCTCACTTACAAGCAAAAGGACCTTGTAAGGACTCGGGTTAGGAGCCTGAAATGGGGGAAATAGAGTGTGCAGGGAGCTCTGTTTAAAGAGGTTGGCATTATTGATGCAGTACATTTTCTGCAGATCTGAAATGAGATGGTGTTGCAGATACCATCTGCAACTGCAGATCTCTTTCCTGCCCAACTACAACTCTGCCCTCCTATGTATAAATGCCCTCCTATGTGCTCATATGGAAAAGAGAAGTTATGCCACAGAT